GGATAGCATTGGTTTAGTTTCCACAGAAGATCTCGGTAAGCTTTTAATAATTGGAAATAATGTGAATAATATGTATCAATTACCCGTAGCTGGTGCTTGGAATCTAAATTTGCTCCAACAGCTTCCTAGTTGGGCTGGGATATGACAAATCCTTGGAATACGGTGGATTTGTTCGTTTTGAAGATAGTGCATCCATCTCGAAATAAGGTAAAATAACTGGTGCTCTTGCAAATACCCATTAACTGAAAATACTTGCATTTTACGCTTATTCACCCTATTCACGGGCACCGTGGCATCGGACGATGGTATGTCCGATTCATTCAACACCATATCTTCGTAACGCAAGGTTTGTTCGAGGGAATCTGCGATATAATAAAAGTGTATACGAGTGTTACACTCACCGGTCGATCGAATAACTTGCCCAATATGAACCTGTGCTGTTTCTGACAAGTCTCCTCCTAACTTCAACAGCTTCCAGCATGCGAGGTTTGAAAGAGAACCGGGTTTTGGCCAGCACACTTCGGTTTCAGACAAAAAAACAATTTTTGTGCACAGTGGCCTCGGAGTTGTCCTTGAATCCGACGATGGAATATATTTGGAAGGTCTTAGATAAACGCCGGTAAATAACGATGCAGAATTAAACTTATTGGTACGTCTGTTCTCTTTAAATCAAAATAAACCACTGGTATGCACTTTATTCGTTATTAAAAAACAAGTGTACAGTATGTTATGGACTCCGAATTTTGAGCTGGGTCTTGACGTCGTTCCTAAGAAACGCATGCAGTTACAACTATTTATGATGGTTCTTATCTTCAAGGAGAAAGTATGCAACAGCGGATAGAATACCCAACGTGATTTGCGTGGAATTGTTACGTACTTGCTCTGAACTCTGTTCTTCTCAACCCAAGTCACGTTTTGTTTTGGTTGTTCGCACTTGAAGATGTGGAAATGTGTTGCCGGTATACAACTTGAGAAGAACGGTTCCACCGCGGCAAATCGTTTCTAAAAGAAACGCGGGTTTGCCATTCACTATTACCGCGTTGTCCGGTTTGCAAGCTGTTAGTACACAACTGGGCATGCACGGTTGTCTGCCAGTTGCAACTCGACGAGTCCTTATACAGAGCGTGTCGTCAAGAGACCTCTGACACTTCACAGGTTGACTTAAGCAACGTTCCGTAATTCTTCCCAAGATTTGTTCCACCGGCATTCTTGGGGGCCGAACAATCCGCCTTAGTACACCCATGTAAGACTCGAACGGCAAGGCTGAGTATCGGTCAAGCGCCCCCCCCTCTAGGTCGTACATCGTCAGCCAGGTGAGTCAAAAAATGTATCTTGTAGACGGTCTCTTGCTCACCGTAAATTGCTGTAAACTGGTTAAGTATGTTGTGGATCATCTTGTGAACAAAATCGGCAGTGTTTTCACTGCACCGGATGTGATAGCAAGTCGAAGCAAATTGAGGAGTTCAAGAAGTTCACATGCTTACAATCTTCCAATATTCTTTCCAAGATAATTGGACCAATATACAGCAAGAATTGGAGAAATTCTGTGGCTTTCCAGTGTTCGAAACCATCAAATCCCCTACATTTTCTTTGAAAATCGCACGGTGGACTGGATCGAATTTCATCTAACCAATTAGATATTCGTCTGAAGCTCGTAGCACTGAGTCTGGTATTGGTACTAATGCGTCCTGTCCTCCACCGTTTGAGTAGACGCTCACAGGAACCTAAACAACTCAAGTGCATGTATTCCAACGGGAACACATGTACCATAATCTATAGATAACAGTTCGAATGGGGATTCACCAACATGATGTGCATCGTTCCTTTTGAATCCGAAACTGACATCTGTTCGCTGTTCATATTGGTTCGGTGAGAATATCACCTTTCCATCGTGAACACCCACTATCGTGCACCTATCACAAGAGCTGTAGCCGCTGTGACATTGCTTGACTAGGGATCGGATGGGAGCATCACAGATGATGCATTCCAAGTGAACGGCAAAACTGATACCCCTGGATGTTAAACGGATTCCCGCCGATCCTAAGTTACGTAATTCATTGATGAGATGCGTAAGGAATTGCATAACGTTAATAGTTTTGTTCATACCACAGTACACATCGATGAGCAAGATAACTGTCTGTAGAGAAACAAGACGACCAAGTACGGGCCATAATTGCAATCGAGAACTGCGAAACAAACTTAGTCCGTCAATGGCCAAATGTAATCTCACTTGGTTCACAATGTTTACAACGCCAAACACCGCAGGCTGTAGATCGAAATGAAAGGAATCAGAAATTAGTGTGAAATCTTAACTTCAAAGTGAAACTGTATTAATTGTTTAGTGTGAATTAAGTGCTATGACAAGTTTACGTGGCACGACGTACATATATGTTTACTGTACGCAATACACCACGATACCCAATGAAGTCTGTAACCACTGACAACCCGGAGAGACTAAGTATGGTTCTTACACCTCTTCTTAGTTGGTTTAAAAGACTGTCAGTGGCTCATCGAAACCTTTATATCCCCTTTCATCCCTCACTTTGTTGGGAAAACGTCGCCGCGGGAGCTTTGAAGAGCTTCGAAGCTCTTGGTCGTATGGGAGCATCTTGCGAGGTGCAAGGTGTGAGCAGTTATAATGCAACACTAGCTCCTGCGGTATTGAACCTTTTGTGATCCACAGCCTACTAAACAGTGAGTATTGTGATAATGTGGTAGTATTTTTCGGTTTGACAACCGTCAACGGAGTAATTACGGTGTTAAGTTTCAATATATTCTGTCTACCGAAGGTCTTGGATTATAACTATGCAGATACGGTAAGGTCACGCATCCGCGCCTACAGTTGGTGCCCCTAATATTTAATTATCATGGTTCGACGGACTCTGGTATTCTCACGCCTCGGGAGCTCTTTCTTTTCCGACTTTCAGAAGATTCTAAAACTTTCAGTGATGCTTCAAACTAATCATTGGTGCAGTAAATGTGAGTTCAATATCTAAGGCCCATTTATAAAGAGTTGACTAGAAACGGGACTAGTCTATTGTTTTGTAGTAGACAAATTAGTCCGTGTGACACAAATGTATAAACAGGTCAGGGAGACGAAGTTTTAACAAATAACTCTTAACTGATGGGAAGCCCAGTGAGACGTCACTGGGCAGTCATGATCACTAAAACCACCCAGGTGTTATCTGTTGCTAATAATTACCCCTCAACCATACAGCCACTATTCAAACTGCGTACTGTTGCATACCAACGTACTCAAAAGCATGCAAGCATGCTGTTGACCAAATATCTCTCATAACCTTGATCCTACCAGGAAATATCGAAAATAACGCTCGTTTACTAGCGTGCTTACTGTTTTCCTACTGAGCCCAAGATGGCCTTTTTAGTATTTTTACACCTCTAGAACACGCCTCTTTATGCCAAGAGTTGACACTAGAAAGCCATTCGTCCTTTATCCAACGGTACCTTTTACTGTCACCATTTAAAAATTTGGGAATCCAGGTGGAGTAGTCGAGCTATAAGGGGATGGCCCCAATATCAATCTGCGGATTTCATTTTTTTATTCCAAATTTTTAAAAACTCGGAAATCCGTGGTCCGTTAATTGTCTAATGATGCTTGCAACTGTGTGATGCGTTGACAACCTCGGCATTTCACCTTTGTTACCGTTCCTCTAACCCGAAATCCCGCCACGGTCTTGAATAAACCAAGAAGAGGTAGTTGCTTACTATACAGAGAGACTGTAAGGGTTTTATTCGTAACCAAATAGCTCAATTCTCATTTACTGCAGTCGAAAATGGCTTACACTCATTTCTGCCCTTCCGACTTTCCTCCCGTTCGCAATCTCTCGGTTGCGGATTTATGGATTCATGGTTAGTTTGAGGTCTTCACCACCCGGTTTACTTCATATTTCACTTTGCCCATCAATCCTGCTTTACTGCCTTTATTCCATCACTTCAGCTACTCCTCTAACCCATTGCACCTAATAAGGTTTGCGGAAATACCTTCCTCGAGTCTCTGCCCAATAAGCCATCCAAACGATTTTTCATCCACTCTTCTGTACGAGACCGTATGAACTGTCGACACACAGAGAGGGCTAAGTTAAGGTGTGCCAATATTTCAAATCTATGGCCCCACCGTGACATTTGGCTGTTCGTGGGACGACAGAGTAAGCAATGCGTATATTAGCCGCAGAGTTTTGGGTATTAGTTGTTGCACTCGGATGCGAGACCTTAATCTTTGTAGATGGCGTTGACTGGGGCATCCGCTATGAATACTACCAAACAGGCTTCCACTTCGAGCGGTACTTGCTGCAGGTACTTGCTGCAGGTAGTGGGTGGAAGAATACTACAAGTGGTGAACCCCCTGTCTGCATTCCAGTGCGTACTATTTTCTTTATTGGCTTCCATCTTTCATCTTTAATTTTGGATATCCAATGGTGTAATATACCAGGTAAAAAAAATTCTGGCCTTCGGAATCTCACAAAACATAGTTCCTGAACGCATTTACTATGCACATCCTCGGACGACAGTTACTTGCTCTTTAGTTTTACTTCTATAAAGCCAACCTCCTCTGCAAAATGCCTCGAATACTCTTCCGTTCCGGATTATGATTGCTTATGATCGACTTCTGTAGAGAGGCCTATGTTTCTAGGATCGTGTACATGACGGCGGTGTTTTGTACCCCCTCTGTAAGGGAGAGGTTTTAGTTTACGAGTTTTGTATCAAGATAGTGTAGTACCACTTGAATTTTTCTCACTGGCTAGGTTACTTTAATCTAATAATATTCGGGTGGTTAAGTTAGACAGTTAGCACAGACACTAATGATTTGACACTAGTTTCCTTATACCTTTGATATGCAATGGTCATACTTCGCTACCGTAAAAAAGTAGCTCGACAGGGGCATTCTGGTAAATGATATTATCATGAGCCAGCTGCCTTTCTTGAAGGCCGAAGCGGTTTCTATTCTAATTTACATAGTTTGGTCTCATCTGTAACTTAAGATGCAAAAGGAATTTTATCTATCTACGCACATTGCATACGCATTCATGAATAGTGTCTCTACTCCGCCTCAAGTATATACTGCGGCATTTCGCACCCTGCGCTCTCCCAACGACTGGGGTGTTACGTCTGCAAACTTGCAATGTAAACGCAAGGACAGATTTGCACAATAACTGCTGAGATTTGTACTTCGTCTTGAATACTGCGAATCAGCGCGTCAAAATGCGCACGCTATGCTTGCCGAGGCGGAAAGCGGTTGGGAAAAGATCAAGGGCGATCAAACCAAGACCTGGCATGATGGTATGAAAACCCTAACCAGGAGACTGGGTCACATAGGTACCCTGTATGGGGACCTCAAGTTCATGGTCACGGGTGTTTAGAGACACTGTGATATGGTTGAGTTTCGCAAACAGTGGCGCTCATGCATCCACTCACTATTCTTGCAAACCCAGTCGAGATGGATTTTCACTTTGACTTTACTCTCAACATTCCAATCTTCATTCTGCTGTTTTATCCAAATTGGCAGCCAAAAGACAGCAACCGAAGCCGGCGCATGAAAATGCATAGTTAATGGTTGTGAATACCGAAGCTGAAAATTAATGTTTCATAGAGTTCCTCGCCACCTTCGATTCTGTCCATAGACAGTTATTCTGGAAAACGCTGCAATCCAACGGAATGTCAGAAATCAATAGCACTGCTGAAGTCATTACACAACGACTCGGGAGCAATTTCGAGCCTATGGTGGGTGTCATCGAAGTTCAGTTTAAGTTTCAAAGTTCGACAAGGCTGTCCGCTGGCATCCGTTCCATTCAAATTAGCTCTGGACTGGCTGATGCAACAAGCGTCTACAGTCTGATGCAGGTGGGTCCTAGTACGTCGACCGCGGACCTGTTATATATTTCACACACTTCTGAGTACAGACTGTGCCAACCAAATCATAGTACAATAATCCTTCTAAAAAAATATAACGTTCCATTATTCATTTGTGGACGGAATACTGCCAGGCTTCCCAGGCCAAGGCAAGTGCATTTTCTTGAGGAATTCACAACCACAGCCTTCAGCTAGCTAAAGCCTGACAGTGGGGCAGTGTGTGAAAATCGCATTCCATTTGGAATCAGTGTCTAGTTCATGGGATGATACGCCCTTTGGACGGGGTCAGACGTCCAAGGTTCCCACTACGTCTCGATGCCCAATTGAGCCGGTGATCACTGCCACAACCAAGTAGGTGCGGGTGAATGTGGTTCGTACTCCTCTTCTTGGATGGTTTGGAACCAAGATTTTTAGCCAACTTCCCTAGGTGAACTGCCAGTGTCTCATCGACTCGGTTATAGCTCCGGCTGTTGGCTTTCGTTCTCTCACTTGGATGAGAAAAGACCGCCACGGAAGGCAGTGAGTAGCTCTTCCTCATAGAGCCGCTTAATCATATAGGAACATTTACTGATATGCAAAGGAATAGTGACCAACCGCCATCCATAACACCCACCTCGACCACAGTGAGGCTTTCGGAGACCGCGAACCTCGAACACGCTGATGATATTATAATCTTTGACACACCAGATGATCTTCTGCAGATCTTTAACTGCATCGAGTCTCTAGGGTTAACCGTTATACTGTCAGAAACGAAGTTCTTTTCAACAGACGTCATCCAGTTGACTACTCCCACCCAGGCCAGTAATTCTTTTTTTATTACAAAATTTCGTGTGATGAACAGCGGACGGGGAAAGACCCATAGTTAGGAAGACCTGCTGTTCAGTGATGGAAACCGATAACCTCAACCCCGGGACTTGGAGTGGCGGACCACATAAGGTTAGGCGTGGTATTGAACCGGACAACAGTAAAGCTGCCTACCATCACTCCCAGTTTTCAGACATCTGAGCTCCACTCTACCACTAAATGGTCGAGCGAAAACCTAGATTCTTCTTCGTGTTAACAACACAAGGAGAGCCTTTCTACAACTTCGCAGATTATTATGAACCCTCAGCAAAATCTGTATCCGTACAAAACTGCGTGTGTATACCAGGTTCTCATTCACCCATCTTTACCGACGGCCGAGAAACCTAACCACTTAAAGTCAGATGTATAAGGTACCTAGAGGTCCTCAATCATTGGTGCCATCGATACATCACAAGAGTGTAGGGATAAGACTTAATCTCTAGCGATGAGGTATGGGATCGCAGCCCAAGCAAACATAAACTGTGCACCACGAGAATACCTACAGTGGTTCTGCTACGTACTGCTTAGAGCCGCCTCAAACCCTTGTTCTGACGCCGTCCGGGCTAGCACTACCCTTGTAGTGTCCAACTGAAGNCTACATGAACGTGTAAGTAAAAATAGGTACCTACGCCAGTAGGGTGGAGTACATGAGAAAAATCTATGGTTTTATTTTACCAGTCTCTGATTTAGTCGCTTTTTCAAATCCGTATGAACAGTCCGGAACTGGGTAAGGATTCGCTGGTAGATAGGTTTTCTGACGGTTTCCTATTGGTAAATAATCCATTCTTTTAGACTGGTCACCCAGTGCATTCTGTCACAAAGGGAAGATGATTAATTCACTATTTGCTCACTTTGTCGCAAGGTATTCTGTGGAAGGGTCTGCAGTTAAGACGTATTATCCTACACATCTTGCTCTATACCTTATCTGGATGGCTTTCTCTGCATTTGTTTTCAGTTCTAGATAGTGAATGTGATTCATCACTGCAATTGCTACTGTTTAAACTCGTAAAATGTGATTTAAGACCGAAAAGTTATTTGATGGAAAAAACTTTTTGGTTTTTCTGCAAAAATCAAAAAGCGGTGTCGAATTTATACCAACCAGCTGATAAAGACCTGCGTCGTAACTTGCATTTGACTAATACTTGTTCTGTTCGTTTGGCTCGTCCATTTACAGACCGGTCTTTGCAAGATGAGGTGAAGCGAGAGTTAGAGTTGGCTCGGAAGGCCGAACAAGAGGCCGCGCTTCTAAAGGATCGATTCACCCAGAAGATAGTTACACAGGAGAAGCCATCTGCTCTTTCAAGTGGGTTCTTTCTCTTATTTTTTTATTTGCACACTTCATTTTATATCATTGTGCTTTTGTCGTAATAGACTGTCAGTTTTGAACACATGCATGTTTTGCACTTCTCACTTTCCCACACATTTAGTATCTATTTTACCAAAAAATAGCCTTTTGAGAGTTGATGTCCACCCGTTTTAATTTGGTCGTAGAATACCACAAATATGCGACCAACAGAGCTATAATATATTGGATAGGCAAAAGACCACGCATGTGATTAACCACGAATTAGTGGGCATTGCTTCGCTGAGCAAACGGTTGCAGACGATGCCAAAATTTGTGACGGGTTTTTACCCACAAAGTAATCTTCACTATGAAGAATATCCGTAGAAAGCGTTGTCAGGTCTATGGTAAGTCATTAACTGGAACCATTTCCCTCACAATGTTTCCATCTATGGGTAGCACTGCTGTGTGAGGGCTAGAGATGCACCTCCAATAACTACTGCTTTCTGACTCTTCCCCACACCATCCATAGAATCGTTCATGGAGCCTAAATATTCTCACGCTGGAGAAAGTCGTGTGAACAAGTTTCAATCCATGAACGGTTTATGAATACTCCGTTGCCCTAATCTTAGCATTCGGTTTCCCCATGTTTTTGCATCTGCCTTAGGCACCTGAATGAGGCTTATCTTTCCAATGGGATACCGGTGTGTGATGTGTAACGTACTCGGTGATGTACAGTCACAATCCACTACACTTCCAGATGCAGTTTCACTGTAATGGTTACCGTTTTTATCAGAAACCCTGTTCTGCTTGATTAGTCTCTTTGCAATCTAACTCTGTCAGTTTTTGAATGGCATTTGCCTCAAGTTCATCGTGTATTCTAAAATTATACTCGTGTATGCATAGTCTGAAGTTCAATTTTGGGCTAATTCACTTGACGCAGCTTACGGTCTGGTTAGGTTTGTGGACATCACTCGTGAAATGCACCGTAGGCATCTTCATAAAATTTCGCGTGCCTTGTCGGACATTTGGGCTATCTATGCTAAGTTTCTTATCGGTTTTACGTGTTTCACATGTAATCTAACAACATAAAGCTTGAGCTAAATTTAATGATGATTGTAATAACCGGAGAACAACACAGAGCAAGGAACTTTTGTCTAAGATGGTCTGAGTTGGTGCCTCTATCCTCATTACTTTAAAAGCTGCACTTAAAATCTGCATGCGCTTAAAACTATTTTCGCGCATTAAATGCTTGTTGAATTCAAGCAATTTCACCACAATTCGCAAACGAAATAATGCAACTCCCCGCAATTTTTCGCCTAGGGGTCATGTTTTGGTGTCCATCTTTATTCGATGATTCGGTCGTGGGAACGCGCGAGCAAGTAGATCAAGCAATTGATGAGTATTTGGAATCTGAATCATCTAAAAATCTACCGGAAGCAGCCACCCTTACAGTGATTCGTCATTTACAGTTGAGCAAACCGCCGGTACTACCCGACATCCCAATATCTGAACAACCAACTGCATCAGAATGTCGGGAGAAGCGACGACAAAATTTTGCGCGTATTCTGTCGAATCTCATACAGAACCCAGAGAATCCTACATTTCGGCGTTTGCGCNCATTGGTAACCAGCTGGTTAGTGATCTGTTATCGATCCGAGGCGCCGAATTGTTTTTCACAGTGAGTTTGAATAATTTTTACTGTGATATTGAGCAACCGAAATTTCGTCGTTATTGAAGAAAAACTATTCTTACCACCTCATTCTTGAGGCTCATTTCACTTTCGGCCGAGCATATAGAAAGGGGTAAAATAGTCATTTGTCAGATGTAACTGCGGAGTCGTAAGATCCATATGTTAGGGAAGGCATTAATCCGTTAACCTTGAAATGCTTTTTAACTTCGAATGTACTTACCTGATTTCAAGCGAATCCACTAGTAGTGTCCCATAGGGAATTCTGCTACGCGTTTGCTCACCAACTGTCACGTGTGGTACTTATCAGATCGTGCTCTAGATAATTACCTACCTGTCCGAGGTAAACTGATAGGCACTAAGCAATCTACGTTGATGTACGTGAAGTATGTATAACTTGTATGGCTTCTGCATGAACCTAACACCCTTTACTGTTGATCCATTGGCTATCTTACAATGATCGTACCTCATTTGGTCCAGTCAAGTGGGTTATGATAAACTGTGCATGTAACCATGGTACTAGGATACACGTGCATCACTGATCCGGTTCTCTGATACAAACAAATAGCAGTTGGCCAAATGGTAACCTGACTTGAACTTTCTGGCTTTAGGGTTCCTGGTTGGGGATCTCGGAAACAGTCTGAAGCAATGATGATCGGGTATCTACGTGCTTTTTGATCAAACCTATTTCAGAACTGCATTTTGTATCATTACCTCCTTTATTCCTTCCTTGGCCGATCAGGTGGGTAGCTGTATGACAGCATCACTCAGGCCAAATCAATAATGCACTTTATTTGATCCGCAGGGGGACCGATTCTCTAGCTCATACTTTGATAAATCAAGTTAATGTATGAGCAGCCGTAAAAAGTGGGATTAGAATTAACGGGAGGGAGGATACAGTGCTGAAAAGGTATTTGACCAAACTTCTGTTTTCAATCGTCAACCAGTTGTTCTTTGCAAGCAAATAACCTGTCTAGATATAGAACGATGGATTTTTGATATGCGATAGTNATGCAGCGGCTTGAATTTGTTACGATTCGCTAATGTGGAAACGGAGCGAGAAAGATCTTTAGTTAGGTAATTATGTACTGCTGGTTACGACGTTGTATCTTTGTAGCTCTGGTTGAGGATGGTGTTGAAGGGTTCTTTGAGCTGGAAGTGTTGTTTCAGAAGTTTTCGATCCGTGCCAGGCAAAATCATCAGTGCGACTTCGGGAGAGCGCCGGTATACAGTATAACCGGACTTACAGAATCGTTTTCGAAGATTGTGATTGGCTGCTTGTGGTCTTCTCATCGAATTGGCCAATTCCATCTGTTCGCTGTT